GTGACTCAAGCTACATTTCCTCTAATTAATACCACCTCCCATATTTGACAGCATTAATGTTTGGTCTTGTATCACCAATTTAAATATTTATCATTAGTTAATTGTGGTACTAGTACCTAAGCTTAATTAACATTAAAACAAAAGTAGAGTATGTTGGTTGGAATAACTTTTTATTTATGAAAATTGGCCCATACTGTTTAATTTTTCAATTATACACCTCATCTCATCTTTGCTTTAAAAAAATACAGGGTTAACCTGAAAATGATAGGCAAGGTCGGGTTACCGGAAGCACATTTATTATTTTTTATATTAGGCCTAATCAAAGATGGCATTAGCGAAAACAAAAAAGCTAGATAATTAATACCAGCAACTTTCATGATGTTTGACATTTTATTGGCCTGAAAACAATCCAAAAATTGAGATTGCAAGTCATTTCAAGAAAATTATCAGGCATAGGAATAATAAAAATGGAAAAGTGAAGTTGATTAGTGGTCTCTCTCTAAGTATGATAGTCTACCTAATCAGAGTAATTGAAATTGTTTCCTGTGTCAATGATATTGTACCGAGGCTTTTATACACACTTGATTGCATGACCTACTTTCTTAATTAATAGATCTTAAAAATATTTTGTGTTATATTTCAGGAAAGTGACAAACTTACTGATGAAGATTTGTACAAGTTTTTGGCCGATCTAAAGAGGCCTTCATCAGTGTTAAAAAGGTTGAAATGTATTCCTGGTGAGTGGTAAAGTTTATGATGCTGTTATACAGTGTTAGACTTACCGTATTTATCCGGGTATAAGCCCAGGGTTTGAAAATGGAAAATTGTCAAAAAGAAGGGGTGGGCGTTGTTTGCCAGGAGATCCCCGGCAAAAAAAACGAAATTCGCAAAAATTGACAACACGCAGATCGAACTGCGGCAGGGAATAGAACGGCAAATGAAAACATGCAACGGAAATAAATGAACAATATGCAACACTAGAAGTAAAACAAAATTAATGTATTGCTTATAATATGACAAATAAACCAGAAATAATAAAAATTGACAGTGAGGAATCATTTGAATTAGGATTTTCCCGCCGACAAACACGCCCAATACGCGTGAACTCAAAATGAATTAAAATGTCAGAGGTTAAATTGCGTAAAATGATTTCCGGTCTCGACAAATTACGAATCAACCGTCATACAAGATCAATAATAATTTACAAATTTACACAGTAAGAATTATAAAAATTCATAGCTGTTTGAAAAAACTTCTCAGATCTTTATTTGTACGTTCATTGCCATCTTCGTCAAACTCAAAACCCTCAAATGTCCAAGTCGGCGTCACTGTAGCCGTCGAACAAAATCCATACAACTTATTCCTGAAGTTCGTCGATATTGTTCCACACAATTTGGACTTATCCACAGTTTTTGCAGTCTGTCAGCTTGGCACTTTTCATTCATGTCTAATCATAATAAAGAGACAAGAAAAATGGGGTCGCTCTGCTGCGATGGCACAAGATGCTTTTGTTAACAGCCTAGCAATCATCTTTGACCTTTATGCATCTGCTTTACTGATTGGCTAAGAATGACATCACTACTAGTATTTCATCATAAAGGTCAAATCGTGACATTGCTTTCTTATTAGACTCGCCGCTTATTAATCACGGTGAAAGTTATTATTCAGCAAGTTCCGGCGGTTGGAATGTCTCACTATATGGATATCGTGGTGGACTTGAAATAGGAAGGTTTTTTTTATCCAAGGACAGAAGAATAGTTTTCATGACAGGAATGCAATAGCGGTGATAAAAGATGGTAAAAAAGTTGGCAGTCTTCGGCGTGACATTGCAAATTGCTGGCCCCAGTTATGGATTCGCAAGCTGCTACAAAATATTTATAAAGCCAAAATAACGTGATTTCAACCATTCTCCCAGGTA